GCAGTCATTGCCTGCGTGACACCTTAGAGGAGGGAGGGAAAGTGAGGCTCGGCTGGGCCATCTCTATCAGCGATCGTCACCACAGCTCGGACCAGTGAGCCAAGCCTCCTGCATGCATTCATGTTTCATCTTCACAGCAACTATGAAGTGGGGACCACTGATATCCACAAGGAGCCTGAGCCAGAGTGCGGAAGTGATGTGCCAAGGCCACCCAGCCAGGAAGCTACAGAGTCAAACCCAAGACTCAGACCAACACCCCTGCTCACGGCCACCTGCCACACCGCCCGCCTCAGGTGCATCTGTCACCACCGAAGCAGAAGCCTTTTGTGGCTGCCTAGCAAGCAGATGCAGAAAGAGAAAGAGAGAGAGAGAGAGAGAGAGAGAGAGAGAGAGAAAGAGAGAGAGAGAAGCCTCTGTGGTCTGGCAGGACTGCACAGCCACAACGTGGGCTTCCCCTCTTCTCCCTGTGCTCAGAGGGGATTTCCTCACGCAGGCAGCGGTTGTCTCTAGCTGCCTTCATTCCCACTTGTGTCAGGAGGCCTGGACTCCCCAGCTAGTCCCTGGCTGGCCCCACGGAACTGCTGAGGACAGAGACCAGGGAGCACCAGGAGGGAAAGGAAGTGAGTCAGCACCTCCTCTCAGGAAGCCGCAGACCCTCAGCCCTAATGTGACTCGCTATGGGCAGAGGCCCTGGACCTGAAGGTAAGGGCGCCCCGGGTCACTGGACTACCTCCAGGGCCTGGCACAGGCAGGGAGGCTGAAAGCCTCTTCCTTGTGTCTTCGTGGCCCACCTGGGGGACCATCAGCACAGCTGATGTTAGAAGCCTTCACCTGATACCCCATCTCCAGCCCCTGAAAGGCCACTCCAAATTAGCATAGAGTCCAGGTGTGGCCGGGCACACTGGCTCACACCTGTAATCCCAGCAGTTTGGGAGGCTGAGGCAGTTGGATCACTCGAGCTCAGGAGCTGGAGAACAACCTGGCCAACATGGTGAAACCCCATCTCTATCAAAAATACAAAAATTAGCTGTGCGTGGTGGTGCGTGCCTGTAATCCCAGCTACTCGGGAGGCTGAGGCAGTAGAATCACTTGAACTCAGGAGGCAGAGGTTGCAGTGAGCCAAGATCGCACCATTGCACTCCAGACTGGCTGACAGAGCGAGACTCTGTCTCAAAAACAAAACAAAACACAAACAAAAAAACCATATAGTCCAGGTAAGAACTACACGTTTGCAATGCCAAAGGCATTTCAAATCAAGTCCTCAGGTTCTCAGCCACCACTCCCAACTGGGCTGCAACCCCACACCCCCTAGCAGAATCTGAAGACAAGGCTGCAGCTCATCCACTGCCATCCCCACCACTCCCCAGCAAGGTCGGGTATACTGTGCTCATTTGACAGGTGAGGCTGAGCGGCCTTGGAAGTGAGTTAACCGGCCTGAGCCTGTCTATAAAAGGGGGCTAATGACACTCACTCGTTGGGGCAGCTGTCCTGACTAAATGCACATAAAGCTCTCAGCCCCTGTGCCTGATGACACACGGCAGCGACTGTTTTCAGGATGAGAGTCCAGCATCTCAGCCACCTTGGGGGCTCTCACTTCCCCCTTTCCCCAGGTTAGGGAGGAAATGAAATGGACACATCTCAGTCCGTGTGTCTTGGGGGGTTGTCTCGAGGAAGGTACCTTGGTTTATGGAGCCTGCAGCCTGTCTCTCACTTCCCTTTCCCCAGGTTAGGGAGGAAATGAAACGGACACATCTCAATATGTGTGTGTTGGGGAATTGTCTTGAGGAAGGTACCTTGGTTTATGGATCCAGGATACTGGGTGGCTGGCCCCCTAACCTTGGACAGGACCCATATGCAATCTGCAACTCAGGACACTCTGAGACACACCTGATCCCCGAACAGAAGGGCCTTGCTCTGAGGGCCATCCTGCGTAGTTCCTGTCACCTAGAAGCCAGGCATGGGCCCACTTCCCGTTCATACAGCACTGAGCAAATGGATGTCCAAGGTTGCAATGGAGCTTGACCTCATCTGTAAGGATGGCAAGGACTCCAGAAGGCGTACCCTGGAATCACCCTTGGAGGGTGCATGTTCAAAATTTGGAGTCAGTGCACCTGGGCTGCGGCTTAGAGATTCTGGGTTTAAGAAGTCCTCCAGCGACTCTGCTCCATCTGGTGCACTTTGAGAAAGGCTGGGTTGGAGATGGCATCTCCTGCCACACCCACACTCTTCTCCCTGATCCCAAGCTGAGTCAGGGATGCTTCAGGCACATGATCACAGCCGATCATGTTCCACCTTTGTCTGCAGAATCAAGTCCAAATTATCTGAGGCTAGGCCTCAAGTTACTCCAAGAACTGACCTCCCAACCTTATCTCCTGCCTCCTGACCCACGTCTTCAGTCATTTCAGGTCTCCAGGCTTTTGCACGTGCTATCTCTTCCCCTAGAAGTGTCCTGCTCCCCTTCAAGGGCCTGGTCATGAAATAAGAAGACTCACTTCTAAATTGCCCTTTCAAAGATGTCCCGTGAGAGCTGGCTGGATAAGACCTGCCACCTTCCCCTCTCCCCTCCTCCACACACCTGAAGAACGCTACCACCGTCCTCTGCGACCAGTGTCCTTGAAACATACTCTCCCCGCTCTGGGTTGTGCATTTCTTATTCTCCAGGTCTAAACACACCTAGAGGTTCAGCAAATGTTGAGAGAGAGAGAGAGAGAGACAGAGAGAAAGACAGAGTGAAGAAGACAGGAAATAGGGGCGAGGAAAGGAGAAAGGGGGTAAAGAGACAGAAGAGGAAGGAAAGGAGAAAGGAGGAAGAGGGGATAGCTATGAGCTCGAACAGTCCAGGGTTGAGGAGAAAAACACTCCGGAACAGATCTGCCCGATGCCTACCAGTCTGGAACTCAAGTGATTTAGCTTTGTAGTGCTCATCTGAAAAGTAGGGGAATAATGCAATACCCACCACCTAGGCTGACTGCAGAGTTAAATGAGACAATCCAGGCCAAGCGATTACAAGGGTGCCTGGCACAGGCACTCAACACCAACAGCCCAAAATGACTATTCTTTGTTCTCGCTGTAGCCCCTCCAGCGTCCAGGCACACAGGTGCCTTCAGTAAGCCTTGATCAGACATGACCTGTGACCCTGGCCCAGGACCTCTCACACTTTCAGACTCAGACTCTCCATGCACACGTTTGGAAACCTACCCTAAGCACAGCGTGGGAGGAGGCAGTGTGGGTACTCGTCCCGGCAGACCTGGGGAGAATGTGGGGGGAGAAGCGTCCCGGCTCGGGGCTACCACCCACTCCAGGCCTCGGCGTCCTCGGCCACAGCTCCCTCCTGGTGACTCAGACCGGCGCGGGCCGCCTGTTTGGAGGGATAATGATAGGACAGCTGCTGGGGCCAGCGCCGCGAGGGCCCCTCGCCCGGCCGGCCCGGGAAAAACGAAGCAGCCATCAGATGCCAAAGGGCCGGTCGGCCGGGACAGGAGGTGAAAGGGGACCCGGCCCCCAGCTCCTGGCCAGGCCAGCTCGAGAGGCCGCGCTGGTCGCCCTTGAGGTGGGGGGCCACGGGGCTGCGGATTCCCAAGAGCCACCCAGTCCCGGCCCGGAGCCTCGCCCCAGGATGTCGCGCCACAAGGAGGGCGCAGGAGCCCGGACAGTCCAGCGGCCGGAGGAGAGGGCTGGAAGGACGTGGCAGGGAAGCCCAGGAGCCCCGACCCCCAGCCGTGAAGTTTGCCACCTGTCCCCGGGCCGGCTCACCACGTCCAGATCCGCCGCCAGAGCCCAGCTTCTGGGTCAGGGCCCGCCGGGTCAGCTGACCGCGCGCCGCCGCCCGGCCCCGGGAACCGCAGGCCCCGCCCCCACGCCGCTTGCGGGGCGGACCCGGCTTAGAGGCGCCCCTGGGGCCGCGCCTGGTGTCCCCGCCCCCAACCACCTCCGCGCTCCGCCCCGGCGTGGGCGGGGCCCTCCGGCTCCCAACGCGCAGGCGCTGCTGCTATGCTGAGCGCCGCGTCTCGCGTAGTCTCCCGCGCCGCCGTCCCCTGCGCGCTTCGCTCCCCGCAGCCCGAGGCCCGCGCGCTGGCCATGTCCCGGCCACCGCCACCGCGGGTCGCCACGGTGCTGGGCACTATGGAGATGGGGCGCCGCATGGACGCGCCCGCCAGTGCCGCGGCCGTGCGCGCCTTTCTGGAGCGCGGCCACACCGAACTGGACACGGCCTTCATGTACAGCGACGGCCAGTCCGAGACCATCCTGGGCGGCCTGGGGCTCGGGCTGGGCGGCGGTGACTGCAGAGGTAACAGTGGCCCCTGATTCTCCCCATGCATCGTGCAGAGCTGAGCCCGTCCCCAGCCGTGCACCACCCCGCCCGGGCCCGGCCGCGGGCAGCACCGACGGCTTTGTCCCTCGCCCCACCCACGTCCACCCCGCAGCTCTGGGAACCCCAGGACAACTGGACAGTGCTTTACCCTGACTCCTTTCCCCCACCGTCCTTCCACTGGGAGTTGCAGCGCGAGAGTACCCCCCTAGCCTGGTCTGGCCCGTCGCTTCCCACCTCCATTGATGCCCCCGCCTCCAAACCTGCCAGGTGCCCATAACCGGTCCCTATCCAGGCTCTCCCCCTTTTCTCTACCCCTTCGTTGCCATTGTCACCCATGCACTCTCTGGGGAGCCTTTTCTCATCCTGGCCTTTTCTTAACTACTAGACTTTGCCCTGTTCAGCTGGCAGTACCTCTGCCTGTCTCAGGGAGAACTGTGGCGATGCCTCAGGCTGGCTGGGAGAGTAGGGGTGTTTGGGAGTGCAGACGCGTGAGGGGTAGGGGCTTTCCACTCTATGCCAAGCTTGGACATGGATCATAGGAGAGAAAGTAACTCCAGCCCTCCACAGGGAGTTCAGAGTCTAATGGGGAAGACTGAAATAACGATTGCTAGAGAGCCCAGAAGAGAGAGTACTTTGGGGAGCTGCAGGCCAGGGAGAGGCACTAGGGAAGGCTCAGCAAATGCTGGATGGAGCTTGGCCTTAAAGGCTCAGTGGTAGGTTGGAGGAGAACAGGAGAAAGGAGCATTAGAGTCTAGGCAAAGACTTGGTTTGGAAATGCAGTGTGTGTGATGTGTGAAAGGAAGGCCAGTGGGCAGGTGGGGCTTGAGCGGAGGATGGAGGGGACTGTTCCTTGTGAGCCTGGTGCCCTTGATAGCCCTTGGGAGGGTGCCTGGCACGCAGTGAGGACCCAGGGAACATGGGCTGTTACCCTTACCATGCTTCACCCACTGGACTATCCTGAGGCTTCTGCTGCTCAGCCCTGAGGAGAGGCTCTCTCTGCGCCCACCTTAGAGTTGTAGCGTGTGGTGGGTGGGGTTGGGGGAAGAGGGTGAATGTGAATCTCAGGCCCACGCGCTTTCTAGTTCACCTGGCTGCATGTTGTTGTTTTTATTTGAGATGGAATCTTGCTCTGTCACCCAGGGTGGAGTGCAATGGCACGATCTCAGCTCACTGCAACCTCTGTGTTAGCCTCCCAAGTAACTGGGATTACGGGTACACGCCACCACGCCCAGCTAATTTTTGTATTTTTAGTAGAGATGAGGTTTCACCATATTGGCCAGGCTGGTTTCCAACTCCTGACCTCAAGTGATCTGCCCACCTCAGCCTCCCAAAGTGCTGGGATTATAGGTGTGAGCCACCATGCCCAGCCAGGTTACACATTATTAATAATGAAGATTTTGTTCCTCAGTTGGTTTTTCTTCTCCAGCCCTTCCCCGCTTCCATCTTTGAGGCCAGGAGCTCACTGGACCCAAGTCCTCAAGCCAGGCCTGAGGCAAAGTTCATGCCAAGAATGCCTGCAGGGCTGTGGGGAAATGGAGAAAATCTGGATGAGGAACTGTGGAACTTGTTCTCTTCCATATCCCAGCTGATCTCATGACACCCCTCTGAGCTACTGAGCTGAGTTTGCCAAGTGTGAAAAGTGCAGAATTCATCCACCCACCAATCCAGACAGCTGGAGTTCTTTTTTTTGTTTTGTTTTGTTTTTTATTTTTTGAGACAGAGTCTCACTCTCTCACCCGGGCTGGAGTGCAATGGCACAATCTGGACTCACTACAACCTCTGCCTCCTGGGTTCAAGTGATTCTCCTGCCTCAGCCTCCCAAGTAGCTGGGGTTACAGGCACCTGCCACCACACCTGGTTAATTTTTGTATTTTTAGTAGAGATGGGGTTTCACCATGTTGGCCAGGCTGGTCTCGAACTCCTGACCTCAGGTGATCCACCCACCTCAGCCTCCCAAAGTGCTGGGATTACAGGCGTGAGCTACCTTTCCTGGCCCAGCTGGGGTTCTTTTTTAATTTTTATTTTTATAGAGGGAGGGTCTTGCTACATTGCCCAGGATTATCTCAAACTCTTGGGCTCAAGTGATCCTCCCTACTCAGCCTCCCAAAGTACTGCCAAACTAGGTTTACAGACTCGAGCCACTATACCTGGACCAACAGCTGGGGTTCTTTCTAGGTGAAAGATTAGTGGAAAATTAACTCATTTCCAAGCTGCTTGGATGCAGAACACTGTTGTCATAGCGATGTGTCTCTACAGTAGTTGGATGTATGCTCATGCTTCTGTGAGTCGGGAAGGGGAGGGGAGAATTATAATTACATTCTGCTCAGTTTGCCTTCTAAGCTCGCAAATTGATCTCTACCACTAGGCCACATTCATGTGACTGCTTCGCTTTCCTAAATTCTTCCAGGCCTGCCCCCTTGACTTCTTTCTCTGTACTGCAGCCAAGTGTGAACACAGGTGACCGGTTCAAAACCTGACAAAACCTGGAATGATCGAGTTCAGATTCAGTGGGATGGTATTTAAGAACTTTTGGGATCAGGTCTGTCCCTGTGTCTTGTCCTATGTCCCACTGCTCCTTGCTCTGGAATTTATGCTCTTATAACTTAGACTTGAAGGTTTGGAGCCTCACATACTGGGTTTTTTTTTTTTTTTTTTTTTTTTTTGCCTCTTTGACTTTGCATGGGTTCCTATGCTCTGGATTGTACTTCCTGCTCCTCCTTATTGGCTGGGACTCTGGGGGTGATCCCCTAGAGAAAGCCTTCCCTGGAGTCTCCAAGTTGGCTTCATGCATCTCATGTGGGCTCCTTGGCACGGTGTGCCTTTCCCTCCTGTGCTTACCATATTGTACCGTCATCCTCTAGGGCTCCAGGAGGGCAGAGACCCATTGTGTTCAGCTCATCTCTGCATACTCAGTCTCTAGTGCAAGGCCTTGCACAGCCAGTAGGTTGGTGACTAATGATAGTTATTCTAATAGGTGAACATTGAGAACTCACATATATGACATTATTTAATCCCCAGGACCTCCCAATGAGGACAATTTGATTATTATCACCCCATTTTTATAGATCATACAATTGAGGCCAAGAGAATATTAGTAATTTAGCTAGGGTTACACAAGTTGGCAAATGGCTTTAGTAGGTCACTTAACCATTCCATTCTCTCTCCAAGTGAAAATTGCCACCAAGGCCAACCCTTGGGATGGAAAATCACTAAAGCCTGACAGTCTCCGGTCCCAGCTGGAGACATCACTGAAGCGGCTGCAGTGTCCCCGAGTGGACCTCTTCTACCTACATGCACCTGACCACAGCACTCCAGTCGAAGAGACACTGCGCGCCTGCCACCAGCTGCGCCAGGAGGTGAGGGGGCACTCCGGGCTCCGAAGGTGGGCTCCTGCCCCTTTCTTTATCCTGATCCTACTCATGACAGCAGAGGCACCAGGGCGGTCCCAGGGTGGAGCAGGAAACAGCCCCATTCCCCGGGGCGCCACCCTGGCCTCCCCTTCCTGGTCTGGGCTGCACTGGGTTCTGACTGCTGCCTCACCCCTGCAGGGCAAGTTCGTGGAGCTTGGCCTCTCCAACTATGCCGCCTGGGAAGTGGCCGAGATCTGTACCCTCTGCAAGAGCAACGGTTGGATCGTGCCCACTGTGTACCAGGTGAGGGCCGGGGCTGCAGAGGCCAAGGTCTCCAGCACTCCTGCTCATCTTGGGCTGTCTTTGCCCCTCCGACTGCCCCCATGCCCTCTGCATAGCAGCCACTCCCCTGCTGAAAGCCTGCAGATGGCTCCCAGGTACCCTCAGAATGCCATTGAAGCTCCTCAGCCAGGCCACTGGGCGTCTGCTTCCTTCCTGCCGGCCTGTGCACCTTGGACCCCTCCTTCCCCACCTCCTTTCGTACTTCAGCCTGGAACACATTTCCCCTGCCCTCCTCCCTGGGAGAAGCACTCGGGCCTTACGTAGAGGTCTCCTCCTCTGGAAGCCTTTCTAGACAGCCCCACAGGAGTCTCCAGTCTCCAAACCTCATCTTCATACATTCAGCGAGTACTTTCCAGCTCCTTGTTTGATCGTAGAACCTAACTTTATTGTAATTAACTGCCTTCCTGTCTATCTTTTTAAACTTGAGTAAACATCTCCTGGAGGCAGGGATTTTGTGACACCTACTTGTGGTTGTAACCAGTGTCCAGCATGGAGTTGATACACCAGATATCTGTGGAAAGATATCATTCCACTTCAATTTTCTGTCCTTGGACCCAACACCCTCCCTCCATCCCCTGCTAACAGTAGTCATGTTAGAAGATTGCTGAAGTGCTGGGCTGGTGTTGCTTTAGAGTTTTAAAAGTGGAAGGCAACAGTTCCTTCTCTTGACATGTCCACCCTCTCCCCGGGGTCCCTCTCCCTGCAGGGCATGTACAACGCCACCACCCGGCAGGTGGAAACGGAGCTCTTCCCCTGCCTCAGGCACTTTGGACTGAGGTTCTATGCCTACAACCCTCTGGCTGGTACGTGGAGCATTCCTGAGCCTGTCTCAGCCTATTCCCGACCCACAGATGCCCAGCCCAGGACCTGGGAAGCAGGGAGGGTTTGACAAGGGGCTGGGCTGCGTCCTTCAGCCCTCCTGGGTCCCTGCCCCTCCCTAGACCAGAGCCCTGAGGGATGTGGCAGCTTCTGGGGCACTCTGGGCCCGGGGGCTGATCGCTGCCTTCCCGCAGGGGGCCTGCTGACTGGCAAGTACAAGTATGAGGACAAGGACGGGAAACAGCCTGTGGGCCGCTTCTTTGGGAATAGCTGGGCTGAGACCTACAGGAATCGGTGAGCTGGGGTTGGGCTTGGTGAGGATGGCTGGGGTGGGGTCAGCTCTGTGTGGAATGAAGTCCTGGACTGCTCCTGAGGTAAGCCCTTCCCTTGCTGTTTGCACCTGCTCCCCTGCATTCCTTCAGGAATTCCCAAACCCTCTGTGCGTGTTCTTGTTGTCTCAGGACCTCCGGGAGGAAATGAGGATCCCTGGATGTTGGGGTCTTGAAGTCGTCGCTCTTTTCTGAGCAATCACCTGCTGGGAAGGAAAGAGCGAGCCCAGGATGGGCCAGGCATGGTGGCTAACACCTGTAATCCCAGCACTTTGGGACACCGAAGTGGGAGGATTGCTTGAGCTCATGAGTTCAAGACCAGCCTGGGCAACATGGTCTCTACAAAAAAAAAAAAAAAAAAAGCAAAAAATTAGCCAGGCGTGGTGGTGCACACCAGGCTGGGGCAGGAGGATTACTTGAGCCTAAGAGGTTGAGGCCGCAGTGAACCATGATCATGCCACTGCACTCCAGTGTAGATGACAGTAAGACCATGTGTCAAAAAAAAAAAAAGGCCCAGGAGGGAGTCCTGCCCCATCTGAGCAGGCTTTGTGTCCCTAGGGGAAAGTCAGAGCAGGTTCCTGAGTCCTCAGGAATAAAGATTCATTGAGGTCTCTGTCGAGGGGCCCGGCATCCTGGGTGGTTCTGACGCCCAGCAAAGTGGGAGACCTATGACTAGAGAGGACACCCTCCCCTCAGGGCTGCAGGGTGTGGGGTGGGGCAGTGGCCCTGGATGACTCTTTGGTCGTGGCTCCCAGTGTGATCCCCATGGTATTGACCCCTGTGCCACTGTCCCCCCTGCACAGCTTCTGGAAGGAGCACCACTTCCAGGCCATTGCCCTGGTAGAGAAGGCCCTGCAGGCCGCATATGGCACAAGCGCCCCCAGCATGACCTCGGCCGCCCTCCGGTGGATGTACCACCACTCACAGCTGCAGGTAACCAGCGACCCTGGGCGCTCAGCTCCTTCCCTTCCAGGGGAGCCTTTAGGTGAAGCCCAAAGCATTTGATTTCTCAATTCCTCTGAAATTTCTCTTTCTTCCAGTTCTCATAAACACTCTTCCCACTGGTCTTTGATGGTATCTGAGTGGAGGCTTTGTAGTGAGGGCTTCATTACAGGGATCTTCTTATTCCTTAGGCTTCATGGAGTATGATTATCCCAGTGTTATAGATGAGAAACCCGAGGTTCACCCAGCTATTAAAGTGGCAGACATTTTAACACAGGTTTAACTAAAGCCCACCCGTCTCACCCTTGAGGTTTCCCTCTCTTGATGCCTCCTGTCTTCCTGGTTAAAACTTATTTCCTGACCAGTGGCAGCGGCTCACACCTGTAGGCCAGCACTTTGGGAGGCCAAGATGGGAGGATTGCTTGAGCTCAGGCATTTGAGTCTAGCCTGGGCAGGAAAGTGGGACCCTATCTCTACAACAAATCAAAAACATTAGCCAGGTGTGATGGCTTGCTCCTATGTTCCCAGCTACTCTGGAGGCTGGGATGGGAAGATGGCTTGAGGCTGGGAGGTCAAGACTGCAGTGAGCTGAGATCACACCACTGCACTTTAGCCCGGGTGACAAAGCAAGACCCTGTCTAAAAAATCAAGCAAACAACAACGAAAATAACAGCAACAAACTTACCTCCAGTTTCAGCATTCCATGTTGCATAGTGTCTGGCATGTATCCGGTAGATGTTCAGCATGTGGGAGCTGTGTTTTACATAAGTTTTCTCTCATTCCAATGCTGAAAACAGAGAAAAAGATTGAATGTCATGCCCATGTCGACAGCACATATACTAAAATTGGAATGATACAGAGAAGATTAGCATGGCCCCTGCGCGAGGATGACACGCAAATTTGTGAAACGTTCCATATTTTTCCGCCACCACCACTGCACTGCACCACCTCCCAACCCCATTTTTGTACAAAACACAAGGAAAAATGTTTTTGTTTAAAAAAAAAAAAAAGATTGAATGTCAAAATAAGCTTAATAACTCAGCCTGCTTTTTTATTTTTTTGAGACAGGGTCTCACTCTGTCACCCAGGCTGTAGAACAGCGGTGCACTCATAGCTCGCAGCAGCCACAACCTCCTGGGCTCAAGCGATCCTTCTGCCTCAGCCTCCCTGGTAGCTGGGACGAGGCATGCACCACCACCACTGGTTCATTTTGTTGTGTTTTGTAGAGACAGAGTTTCTCTCTGTTGCCCAGGCTGGTCTTGAACACTTTGGCTCAAGTATTCTTCCCACCTCGACCTCCCAAAGTGCTGGGATTATAGGCATGAGCCACTGTGCCCAGCCAACTTAGCTATTTTTACACAGCTGCTGGGGGGCAGAACTGGGCTGTGAATGTAGGTCTGTCTGGAAGCGTCGTGTGGCAGTAGGGGAAAGGATACAGGTTTCAAGTCACATGGGTACAGCTATCCAAGGCACCTTACGTCCTTCTGGACATACGGGATAGAAATATAAACAGAGACCCCAAATCTCAGCAGGGAGGTGGCTGGGAGGGCTGTGAGTGGAGTTGCTGTGTAGCAGAAGAGGGTTGAAGTCTGGCTATCTCCCTTGCAGGGTGCCCATGGGGACACGGTCATTCTGGGCATGTCCAGCCTGGAGCAGCTGGAGCAGAACTTGGCAGCAACGGAGGAAGGGCCCCTGGAGCCGGCTGTCGTGGACGCCTTTAATCAAGCCTGGCATTTGGTTGCTCACGAATGTCCCAACTACTTCCGCTAGGCCCATCGTGGCTCAGGCTGCCCAAGGCTCTTCTGTCACCTCTTTTGTTCTCTCACACTGACCAGTCTTGGCCTTAAGCTGCCTCAGCAGAATCTTTCTGGATTGTCTAGATCCATGCATTATTTTTCTAGTTCCTGCCTTGCTCCCTGTTTACTTTACACTGTGAAAGGCGGGGGTGAATCCCACTTGAGCACTCCCTGTTGAATAAAGCAGGCACTTGACCTGGCTGTTGCCCAGGTCTTGAGTGAACCCCAAAAACTTGTTTTCTCTGCTGCTGACACCTTGTTCCCATCCTACCTGGGGACTGAGAAAGGGCAGAACCATGGGTTGGAGTCTTCAGAGGACAGGGGTAGTGGGAGGGCCTCAGAAGCACACTGCCCTCCCAGGGTCTCCACGGTCTCCCCTGGTCTGAATACTCACCTGACCTCTCAACACTGAGGTGCCTCTCACTCTTCTACACACGATAGAAAAGAGGGTTGTACACCTGCAGTACCTTTGCTCTAATTCAGAATCGCCTCAGTACATTCTTAGGAATGAAACAACTGGGGCAAAGAAACTACCATTAGAGTCACCACCAAGCAGAACGCTTCCCAGGATCTGTGGAACATCTTGAACGCTCTCAGTCTCAGCCTCCTCTTGTCTTAACTAAAGCCTCTTATCTTTTCACCCATAAAGTTCTCAGCCCTGGCTCTGGGCCTCTATTCGGCGTGGGGACATAGGCAGCCACGGTCCTCATTTCCCTTAGAAACCCCTACTCCAAACAGGAGGCACCAAGGCTGAGAAGAAGAATCCTCGGTTCAGTGGTTGCTGAACCTGCTGCATTCCCAGTGCAGCGAAATCCCTCCAGCCATGGGCAGGGCAGCAGGCAGCACTTGGAGCAGCTTCTTGAAGCGATGCAAGAGGCCCAACCTGGAAATTTACTTTTTCATTTATATTTATTATTTGTTCTTGAGACAGGCTCTCGCTCTGTCGCCTACACTGGAGTACAGTGGCATGATCACTGCTCACAGCAATTTTGACCTCTGGGGCTCAAGGGATCCTCCCATCTCAGCCTCCCAAGTTTTTATTTCTTTTTGTGGAGTGGAGGTCTCCCTATGTTGTCACCATCTTTTCTCTTTACCCATAACAAAACAGATGCTCACCCATGTGGAGGAGCGTATCAGTTATCTTTGCACAACAAACCACGTTAATAAGTTGCTTGAAAAGATAAAATCCAAGGCTGGCACAGTGGCTCATGACTATAATCCCAACATGTTGGGAGCCCAAGGCAGGTGGATCACTTGAGCTCAGGAGTTTGAGACCAGCCTGGGCAACATGGTGAAATTCCGTCTCTACCAAAAATACAAAAAATTAATCTGCATGTGGTGGCACATACCTGTGGTCCCAGCTACTCCAGAGGCTAAGGTGGGAGGATCGCCTGGGCTCTGGAAATAGAGGTTGCAGTGAGCCGAGATCATGCCATTACACTCTAGCCTGGGTGACACAATCAGACCCCATCTCAAAAAAAAAAAAAAAAATCCTTCTTATTGATCAAAAGATTTGATACAATTCCTCTTACTCCCAGCTGGCTTTTTCTTAATACTGAAATTGACTAATCCTAAGGCTCATACGGAAATTCATAGCACCCAGGAGAACCAAAACAGTCTTGAAAAACACATAGTTGGAGGACTCACACGTTCTGATTTCAAAACACTGCAAAGCTACAGTAATAAAGACAATGGTTCTGGCATAAGAGTAGAGCAACTGAACAAAACTGAGTCCAGAAATAAATTACTGATTTTAGAGTTGAGTGACAACTCAATAGGGACAGTTCAATAGGGAAAAGAATCATCTTCACCAATATCCAGATGTCCTCCTGCAAAAGAATGAAGTTGGACCCCTTCCCCATACCATAAACAAAAAATTAACTCAAATGAATCACCTTCTAAATGTATAAGGTAAACTATAAAACTCTTAGAAGAAAATATTTGAGTAAGTGTGACTTTGGATTAGGCAGTGGTTTCTTAGATGTTGACACCAAAAGCACACATGACAAGAAAAAGTAAAGTCAACACCATCAAAGTTTAAAGTATTCATGCTTCAGAGAACACTATCAAGAAAGTGAAAAGACAACCCACAGAATGGGATGGTATTTTGCAAATCACATATCTGTGAAGGAACTTATGGCTAGAATAGATATAGGACTCTTACAGCGTAATAAAAGAGAAAACCCACCCAGGTGTAGTGGCTCACGCCTGTAATCCCAACACTTTGGGAGGCCAGGCGGACAGATCATTTGAGCCCAGGAGTTCAAGACCAGCTTGGGCAGCATGGCAAGACCCTGTCTCTACAAAAAATACCAGAACAATTAGTCGGGTATGGTGGCGGGCACCTGTGGTCTCAGCCAATCAAGAGGCAGAGGTGGGAGGATCTGTTTGGCCCAGGAGGTGGAGGCTGCAGTGAGCCAAGATCACACCACTGCACTCTAGCCTGGGCAACAGAGCAAGACCTGTCTCAAAAAAAAAAAAAAAAAAGGAAAAGAAAAGAAATCCCAATTAAACAATGGGCAGATGATTGGAATAGACCTTTTTCTAGAGGTTATACAGGTGGTCAGTAACTACATGGAAAGCTGCTTAAAATCAGTACTTATCAGGGAAGAGCAAATCAAAACCCCTTCAAATCCACTAAGCACTAGGATGATCAGAGTCAGTAAAATACAGAAAATAACAAGTGTTGAGGGTTTGGAGAAATGGGAGCCTTAGGACACTGCCATTGGGACGGTAAAACAGTGCAACCATTTTGGAAAACATTCTGGCAGTTTTTTAAAAAAGATTAAGCATCTATATGACCCAGAAATTTCACTCCCTAGGTATACCTAGAAGAAATGAGTTCGGGCACAGTGTCTCACGTCTGTGATCCCAGCACTTTGGGAGGCCGAGACGTGCAGATCACCTGAGGTCAGGAGTTCAAGACCAGCCTGGCCAACATGGTGAAACCCCATCTCTACTAAAAATACAAAAAAACTAGCCGGGCGTGGTGGCGGGCGCCTGTAGTCCCAGCTACTCAGGAGGCTGAGGCAGGAGAATGGCGTGAACCCGGGAGGTGGAGGTTGCAGCGAGCCGAGATCTCGCCACAGCACACCAGCCTGGGCAACAGAGCGAGACTCTGTGTTGAAAAAAAAAAGAAAAAGAAATATATGTCCTTATTAAAAATTACATGAATGTTATAGCAGCATTATTCATAATAGCCAGAAAGTGGAAACTGCCCAAATGTCAATCAATAGATGAATGGATAAACAAAATATCTGTATGTACGATGGAACATTTTTCAAAACAAAAAAGGAATTAAGTATGAAACATCTACAATATGGATGAACCTTAAAAACATGTTAAGTGCAAGAAGCCCATCACAAAAGGCCTCATATTGTATGATTCCATTTATATGAAGTATCTGGAATAAGCAAATCTATTAGACACAGAAAATAGATGAGTGGTTGCCTAGGACTGAGGGGGTTTGGGAGGAAATGGAGATGCACTGCTACTGAGTACAGAGTTTCTTTTGGGGAGGTGATAAAGATGTTCTGAAGTTGTGGTGGTTGTACAATTCTGAATACACTAAACACCATTAAATTATATACTTTAAGTGGGTCAATTGTATATAATGCCTCAATTATGTGTAATAAAACAATCAATTAGCTCAGAAATCTGTTTGGGCAGGGCTCAGCAGGGAAGCCTCATCTGTTCCTCAGTGTCTGAGAGGTGATCTAGCAGCTGGAGGCTAGGATCGCCTGAGGACATTCACTCAAGCATGTGGCAGTTGCTGCTGAGGGCCAGCTGGAATATCAGCTGCTGTCATCAACCAGCACACACGTGGCCTCTGCATGTGGCTTCCAAGGGAGCACATCCCAAGCAAACTAGGCAGAAGCCGTGTGGCCTTCTATATCCCGCAGAAGTCCATAGCATCACTCTTGTGTCCTGGGAGGAGAGTCAAAGATACCTGTGCAAAGAGCATGTGAGAGAATGGAGTGGTCATCTTTGGAAAATAAACTCTAACATTTGGAGCAACAGTCCTGAGTAGTGGAGAAGGTGAGTCCCGGGACCTGCCAGGAGACTGTGTCTTGAGTATCCCCATCAGAGATGCATTTTCTGCTATGTCACATCCCATCTGTTAGACTCTTCCGGCTACTGTATTTCAAACATAGTTGATGGTCTCTTGAATTCAGCTATTGCATATATAAAGAGATTCTTGAAGACACCATGTTGTACACCTTAAATAGATATTTATAATTTTTATATGTTAATTTAAAAATAAATAAGTGAGGCCAGGCGCAGTGGGTCATGACTGTAATCCCAGCACTTTGGGAGGCCGAGGCAGGTGGATCACGAGGTCAGGAGTTCAAGACCAGCCTGGCCAATATGGTGAAACCCCATCTCTACTAAAAACAAAAATTAGCCAGGCGTGGCGGCATGCGCCTGTAATCCCAGCTATTCAGGAGGCTGAGGCAGAATTGCTTGAACCCGAGAGGCTGAGGTTGCAGTGAACTGAGATTGCACCGCTGCACTCCAGCCTGGGCAACAGAGTAAGACTCCGTCTCAAAAAAAGTAATAAATAAGTGAGAGAGAACAAAAAAGTCTACAGAAGCAGAACTGGATCTGGAGAGCATCTCGTATATTTAATCATCCTCAAACTCGGGAAGCTGCTCTGTGCTGTATGAAAGACTGAAGAAGGAGGTGGCATCGATTTTTTATTTTAACATTTTGTCTTCTCTTACTGTTTTTCCTTAGGTGAGAAAAATGTACCCTTTCATGCCTGTGCTTTCTAAATTTTGGGACTGATACAGATCTACAGAGGCCACACCTAAAATTAAATTATCGTTAGTGCTAAAACTTAATTGACTGTGTATATAACTGTGCAATTGCTGTTACTGATATAACTGTTTGGGGTTCATTCAACAGACTACAGAAGCAAAGTCTTGGATTTAACACACAAACTAATGAGATATTGCTCTATACACGAATTTTAAAAACACTGTCATGCGGTGTAGTGTAGTTAATGTCATGCTTATGTCATATAACATAGCATATTAGAGTTCTCTAGATGGACAGAACAAGATATATGTATATAAGAAAGGGAGTTTATTGGCCGGGTGTGGTGGCTCACGCCTGTAATCCTAGCACTTTGGGAGGCCGAGGCAGGTGTATTACCTGAGGTCAGCAGTTCAAGACCAGCCTGACCAACGTGGTGAAACCCCATCCTACTAAAAAACACAAAAATTAGCCAGGC